TGAAACAGTTTTTGAGTTGCAAACTCCAGGTGTCTGATTTAACATCTATCGGGGCGACGTCAACACAACATGTCACAACATTACTCCTTGGATCGTCCTTCTTCCATTGCAGAATGGGGTATGCGCTCTTGGTAGTAGGACTGCAATGCATTCGAACTACCTTTCCTATAACGCGTCCTTGATCACTCATCCAGAACGCGGCATATGAGTTGCAATGCATGTCTTCCTGATTTGGTGATGCTGCAATTTTATCAATGTTGTCATAATAATTAACCTCAGAGACCGCCATCCACCGGGCATTTCTTGAAGTGGATTGCATGTAGACTTCCCCTTGCTGAATAGACAAAAACTCAGAAATATGGAAATAGGTTCCATTGTACTCTATGTAGCTAGGGTTAGTTGTTCTTAAGTCTTGTCCACTGTTGTTGTTACCAGATAACACTCGGGCTCTTTTGCTAATGGTTGGCGATTCAGTCTCTAGCATATTTTTATCACATTTACTGGTAACCACCTTGTTTTCAGAGGAGTAATATGTGGTGGGATGGTCCTTGCAATGATAAGCATATGATCCTTTTTCGTGTTGCGCCGTGAATTTGAGTCCTAGACACACTTGGTGGAACCACTTTTTGCATCCAGGAAACTCACACCCAAGCCATTCAGTTTTTTGGGGAGCCTTGAACGTACTGTCTCTGTAACGGCACTTTGCTGAATTGTAGAAAAAACAGTTTGAAGGCGAGTCTTCATCGTCCTCCTCCTCATCATCATTCCCGTTTTCTACTTTATCAGCAGCCGAATTTTGCCTCGCCGAAACTGCAACATTAATCAGAGCTGTACTGACCTCGTTTTGATTTTCATCTATGGCGTTAAGCAATTGGTCGTTTTCGATATTAAGTAAATCTTCTACTTCCAAAATGTTTGTTTCAAAGGGTGTATCTACCGAGTTAACAGGATACACATCTGTATCAGGATTCAACATCGCAATATCCCCATCTGATGTTCTAGTCAACACGTGTCCTTTTTCTAGACTTTCAATCATGCCTAACAGTTCAGCAGTCTTAATAGCTTCCTTCTCCGCATACTGTAATCCCAGAATTGGTTCGTGATCAATATCTGAAGGCCATTTGTTGTTAACGGTTTCACAGAAAGGCCGTTGATTAAGTTCTTTGAGTTTTTGGATCCTTCTGGCAAAGTCCATCATGTCCATCAAGGTTAAGTTGGGGTTCCCTCGACAAAAGCCCCTGAGACTTGAAAAGAGAACCTCGCAAGAATCAGAACCGAACATCCAGGGCTCGTAAGGTAATGTTGGGTAGTGTATAGCAAATAGTTTCATTGAAATAATAATACAGTGCCCAGCCAAAATTATTTCATCATAGGTTTGTCCTGTTATAAAATGATTTTCCACAGGGTATTCTTCAATCTTTAGCGCACTTTGCCCTTTCACGAACAGGCAGTTCTCTTTTGGTAAATGCGGTATGAATACTATCCCCAATCTTCAGAAACACTCTGGTGGCAATCGAAGCCTTTTCATTCCAAGCTTTTAAGAAAAGGGGAACATCCAGATTAAGCACTCTAGTTGCAGCATCAACATTCTGTTTATCGCGGACATAAACATCGCTTTTCCACAGGGGGCACTCTAATTTGAATTCAGGATACATTTTCATTAAACGTTCTATCTGCGCGATGTGCTTTCCCATTAGCAAAATTCGTTTTACATTTAGTAGTTGGTTACGCCTCTTTTTAAGAATATGTCGCCAGTCTGGGAACATTAGCGTCTTACAAGCCCTGCCATTTACCGTCGAAGACATATCAGCAGCAAAATCAAATCCTTTATAATCAATAGTAATCTGGTTTTCTCGTCTTTCGAAATCCCTTTTGTGCATTTGGAAATAATGCTTTCTAAACTTAGAGTCTCCATAAGCACCAATTCCTAAGACGCTGAACCACTTTCACATGCTTTAGTCATCCACTGCTTAACAGAACGATAGTCTTGTCCTTTTACTACTGGACTAATACAGAGAGAGAAACTAGGCACATGCTCAACAACCGGAGATAAGACAAATCATAGTTAATGGAGGTGACTGGTTATGAAGCCCGGCAAACATCAAAGGAGCAAACAAAGATGCCAAGATTTATGTTAGAAGGGCCACGACCCTGCACAATCTTTTGTTTTGCGTTCATACGTTATGCATGAATTACGTAACCAGCACGTTTCTATTGGTTAGTTCCTCAGTACGGAGTAATCAACTATTGTGTTTTGTGCAGGGTCAAGGCCAAAAAAGAGAACAAAAACATACAACAAAGAACTTTGTCGGGTTTCATAACCATTCCCTCTATTAACTATGGACAAATGCATTGGCTAGTTTTGCTTTTTCGTATGGGGCGGAGTTCACTATGTCAATAATGTCTTGTGCAGTTGAAACCGAAACTTCATTCTGTGTTGCAAAGCCGATAATTCTGTTTCCTTTAACACGCAATGTTGGAATAACAGTTGTGGCATCGATTGCAAGAATAAATGGTCCAGAATAACCGATCTTATCATAAAACATCCTGGCCATCGCAAAGGAACTATCTGTAAGATCCGATGAAATGATATAGCCACTTGTAGCCGTTCGGTATATTGTTGCAAGATGAGGACCACCCAAACGGTCTTTTATGATCTTGGCCAGAGCTGGGCCACCATAATTCAAAATCACTCCAAACAGAGACTTTGTTTTATCTGAGCAGCGTTTTGTTTCCTTTTCTTTGTTACAAATAAGGTCACTAAGAATTTGTAAGAAAGGGTGTCCGTTTTCATTGTAGCCCGTTTTCATTAAGCAAGCCAATTTCAATGCGACTTCTGGAACTTGTTTGTTCAGATCTCTTTTTTGCAATTGCGTACGAAGTTCTTCAAGCTCAAAATCAACTACTTTACTTTGCCAATTCTCAATCTTGTTCCGGTATTGATCATGTAAGTTCATGAAATCCATCAATACTGTGACGTATTTGACTGTAAAATCCTGTGCTTGTTCTTTGTGATCGGAAAGCACGTTTGTTACGGCGGCACATTGACGATATACTTCTTCGTAGCTTAAAGGTTTGGGCTTTCTAGCTAAACAATCTTGTATTACTTTTGTTAACCTTGTACGAATTGTGACATCCTTGTCAATCCTTCGAACCTTTGCTTTGCTGACACCTTCAAGTATAGCAATTTCAGTGTTTGTTAGAGCTGGGATCTCTTTTTCGTGACTGACCACAGTACCCGCCAACTTACGTCCGAAGTGGGCCTCGGCTTCTTTTATGGTCTGCTATGCAACCTGAATCGAAAATTAATGAAATTAAAAGATAAATGGTTAAATAAAATAATTTTCCAATTTTTTAGACTCGGGATTAAAAAGTGTCACAATTATCCCTTACCATGTTTATTTTTTCCGTCTGAATTAAGATTTCTGTGGCTTTCCTTTTTTTCTCA